CCCAAAGCTGTTAATGCAAACTCATGGACAATTATATTTGGGCTAAACGTGGTCCAAATACTTTTTTCGTTCAGCGAAAGGTTCGTGTTTGTAAACTTATTTGTTAATTTCAGTAAACAACAAATCAAAAGCACCATGTTTCTACATTTATTTCTTGATGCTGACTGGTTTTGTGATGTTCTCAATGCTAATTATCCCCATTTTCTCAATTTGATAATACAGATAGATTCGCTTAATATCATTTTAAGACACAACTCATTTTTTTTACTATCAATTACAAAAGCGATCCCACATTTCTGTAGGCATTTTATAATAAATTATTTGCCGGACTGTTAAAATATTTACTCTACGACATTCCTTTTCTAGGAAAAATCTATAATTATTATATCAGCATCTTCTTTGGTTCGGTCTGGTTTGTTTAGATGTATTTGTGGTACTTAAAAATACTAATGTTAATCCCGTTGCTTGTTTTTGCTGTGGTTGTGTATGTGCCTCATGTTAATCCGTTCATAGATCATGCAAATATTTGTAGGCGTGTGTCGTATTATGGTCTCTTATGTCTAAGTTGCTTTGTCCATTATAGCAGATCTTAATTTTGTCATTATTGTTGAGAGATTTCTTTATATAAATGGCGTATAGATTGTGTGCGATGGCAGATATACAAGTATACTTGACGTATAGATTGTGTGCGATGGCAGATATACAAGTATACTTGACGTATAGATTGTGTGCGATGACAGATATACAAGTATGCTTGACGTATATAATATACAAGTATACTTGACGTATAGATTGTGTGCGATGACAGATATACAAGTATACTTGGCGTATATATTGTGTGCGATGGCAGATATACAATATAAAAAAGAAGATGTGGTATGATTGCCAATGAGACAACTCTCCACAAGAGACCAAAATGACACAGAAATTAACAACTATAGGTCACCGTACGGCCTTCAACAATGAGCAAAGCCCATACCACACAGTCAGCTATAAAAGGCCTCGAAATGACAATGTAAAACAATTTAAACAAGAAAACTAACGGCCTAATGTATGTACAAAAAATGAACGAAAAACAAATATGTAACACATAAACAAACGACAACCACTAAATTACAGGCACCTGACTTGGGACAGGCACATACAATGTACATACAGAATGTGGCGGACACAATCTATACGTTAAGGAATGACTGTAATATTTTTTTCTGTCTATGAAGACATACATGTATCATCATAAATGGTTTTATATTATAATTTAATTCTAAATTCCATTTTTCAGGAGTATATCATGGAAAAAAAAACGTTGATGACACCACGGTCACATGACAAATTATGTCTATGAGCTGATAGACAAAACACTTTCAGCCAATCAGAAGACGTGTTACATCCAAAATTAAATTATTCTATAATACATGTAAAAATTAATACAGTCTTTATTGATGGACAAAGAACTAAGTTGATTTATATTCTCCCTCATTACGTTCGTTTGAATATAAAGTATTCATTTACTATGGCCTTTACAAAGAACACAGATCTAATGTAGATGTGATACTCGCTATAACCTTTAATTCTATATCTCATATATAAAATATAACTCTGACATTATAATAATAATTTTCATAATTACAAAAAGGAATGCACATTAAATTGTCCGTGAAAAAACATGTCTCTTCTTTAGGCTAAAGCGAGAGTCGATGGTCAGAAAGATGACCACAACGGTTTAAAGTGCAAACATATAGATTAAGGTCAACAAAGTTGTTAATTCTTCTTCGTCTGTCAACTTTCTTTGTGTTCCAGGCTGTGTTTTTATCCACAAATTTTCCCTCTTTTGACTCTTTGGTATTCTACTTTTCCAACATGCATCACACGAAATCCATCAATATTGGAAAAGGTTACTTTTTTTACTTACGCAATATATGAAAAGGTCTAAATATTCAAAATCGAAATTATAAGAAAAGGATGGGGTAACAAAACACCAGCGGCACCCCTATCAATAAAGTATTATAGTCCCCCTTTTTCTTCGAGTGCAAACACATATCGTATGTAGCTGTGCTACTCGATATAACCTCGAGACAATGGGAAAGTTGTAAAGTATTTACTTGAGCTAAATAATAACATCAAAAAGAGAAAAAAATACAACTAATATTTGACGAAAATGTAAGTTGCTTTTTAACAGACTCTTCAATATAACCGTCTTTAATTAGCAAAATCGGAACGCCACCTTCCATTTTCCTTAATCAAACGATCTCGACACCATTTCTGGCAGCAGCAGTGGTGGTGACAATGCAGACAAATTGGTTTACAATCAAGACCAATCGCGGTTAATGTGCTCAAAAGTAATTCCCTGACCCCTGTATAAGATAAAGGACGATGATTAACTTCCGCTAACTTATAATTGTTTTTTTCATTTAAAACAACTAACAGAACGAAACAGATATTGATCAGTGTCTAATGACAGCTTAGCTAAATTAGTGAATGTCAATAAACCAGGCTACAGGACAGGAAGACAGATTTGTTATTATTTCCCCTTCTATATACATCTGTTTTTCCAGATTCAAAATTCAAAGAAACATAAGTGTCAAACATTTTCATATTAGACATCTTTAAATTTGGAATATCAATGTAGCGTAGAAATCCGCCATATCCAGCTGACATCATTGCACAAATACTAACATTCGGTAAATGAGAATGATCAGTACCAATTTTGTCTAATATCTTCTGTAAATAATCTGCTATAATTGGTTCTTTCTTCACTATTGGTTTACCAAGAATTCTCTCCTCTCCTTCAATCTTCATCTCAATAAGCTTGTCTTCACATGGTTTATACATTTAACTGAAATCATGATATCACGTAATGCTATAAAATGAGCTAATAACACTGATTAAGATACGGATTGTTGTACAAGCCCACTTATATAAACTGCAAAGGATGGTACAATTGATGGCAACGGATTAACTTTATATGTAATACACCATACTTTTCATTTGTAGAAATTGCTTTACTGCTTCTCACAATATTGAATATGCTTTTTTTCACGTCCGGTAAATTGTTGATTAAAGATAGCAAACTGAGAAATTTTCCTTCATGGTGCACTGCCCTGTAATAATGAAACATAAATAAAACTAAGCCCAACAACTTAGCTAAATAAGGAGTTATACAACACAATAACGTAATAAAGTAAATAAATGTAAGCGTATGTTACATTCTGTAATTCTACCTATTGAGATACGGTAATTGACCTCAAAGTAATAATTTTACACCCGATAGTAAAAATGTGCAATGAACCGTACAAAAGAATGCGACCTCATAAGATGAACAATCAAGTTTAAAAATAAGGACGTTACTGATGAATGGGGATTGAGCGATAACAATTTGTCTTTGGCTGAACCTGATTTAAAAAAAAAATGTTTTGAACGATCGATTTCAACAAAATCTGTAATAAATTCGTGAAAATTTTGTCTGTGTCGTTCCAAACCATAGGCCAACACAGAGCAGACTTCCACTTAGGAACTACAAATGTACCAATACACCTTTTGCACGACAAATAAACATATGATTTTAAATTGGTATTCGACAAACTAACTTAAAAACCAACTTGGGACACAACCAGTTGTTTACTCCGGACTAGTCCATGTAGTCGAAAGCGAAAGAGTCGACTATTTGGGTTCCTGGACCCCATAGTTTTGAAATAAACCGATCAATCTTATGATTTTTATCGTCTCCTTATCTTAATTTCCTTATTTAAAACTTACATGTATCTTACAGAATTGTTTCGAATTTGAACTGTATTTTTTTTATTTTATAGGACTTCAATAATGGAAGATACTAGATCAATGAAAAACAGATCCAATAAAAACCCTAACCAGTCTAATTTTTGCACTGGTGAAAAAATCGATTTTCACAAAATTTGGTAAAAAAGCAATAAAGTATGTAAAATAATTTAGACAAACGAATGCACCTCCACAAATTAACTAAATAATGTTCGAACAACTTTAGTAATTTACAAATATGTCCAGCAGAAGATAGCCAAAATGGTAAAGATGAGAAAATAAAATATCTTTCTTGTCCATTAATTATCAAAGAAAAACCTAGATATTTCTGATGTGCTTGATGTATATCTAATTATGTGGTGATAACCATGAATTAAATCGAATTCAAAAATGAAAAAAAAAACTGTTTTTGCGTATTACTAAGCCTCGTAAACGCTTTCATTTTTTTAGTCTGCTTTTGTACATTTATCAACGTGTCTCAGATCTAAAACTAATCTCTCTTTCTTGGAATCACTGATATACACAGTTTGAGGATTTATTACATATGGTCTATATGAAACTTCAGTAATACAACCATTATCTTTAATTATGTAATTATAGCTGTCAAAGCAAATGGAGAATTTTTAAAAGCTGACCTGTTATTATTCAAATAAACTGATTGTCTTTTACACATAAAACTCGAGGAAACCCTTGGCCGCAACCTAGGATCTAAAATGTCCTGAAGCCAAAAGTAGCCAATGATGATATTGAATCCATAGACACAAAAACAAATCTGGATCAGGGGTGCCGGCCAAAGTAAAGTATGTGAAAAACTGTTGCCACTTATTGAAAAATTGACCACAACTGACGTTACAACAAAAAAAAAAAAAAAACACTTGAGGGGTTACTTTTTTGTCATTTTTAATGTGACGTGCCAAAAAGAAGTTTCTAAGTATTTTGTATTAATAGTTATATCACAACTATTTCTATGTGAAACTTGAAGTACGTTGGCCTGATTAAAAATCTTCAAATTCGTAGGCCAATTCTAACCCTTTGTGAACTTACTCCTTTATAATGTCATTGGAAATGATCAATGCATATTGGACAGACATTTAGCATTGCAGCAGGCTATCCTACGGAATCCTGTTACTACAGTAATTACCATACAAACAGCGCTAAATATGAAATCATGACAAAAGGCAAAGAAAAGTGACCAGTTCCGGTAAAATGGACTTAAATAAAATCTATTCATTTTTTCAGGCTAATATATTTATAAATATGAAGCAGTTATACAATTTTTCTTATTATACTATAAAAATTGATACATTTAGCAATACAAACACAATACATTTTTTCAGACAATTGTATCTAAAAAAGATACACCCTTACAAGACAGTTTATTGTTTGTTTTTATAGTGATTAAGATTATAACACAATGTTGACTGCTGTACCCCTATTTTTGACATTTTTACCTAGTATGTCTGTTTGTTTTGTTCACACATTGTTGTCAATGTAATGGAATTTATTGCGACTGTCTTACAAGTGAGAGGTTTAGTTAGCTATGAAACCAGGTTTAATCCTCTATTTCTACATAAAGAAAAGGAATATGACAGTTGTTTTCCATTCGTTTAATGCGTTTGAGCTTTTGATTTTGCCATTTGATAAAGGACTTTCTGATTTGAATTTTCCTTGAGCTTGGGGTTCGGTTTTTTTGTTATTGTACTTTTTACTGGCTGTACTCTATGTATACTGTGTGATTACACTATGTAAAACGGTGTCCTCTATGGAATGTGTCTTCCCGTTCTTGGTGTATTGTGACTTTCATTTTAGGAACACCACACGACGACACTCCTTTTTATATTTTATTTTTGATGATAAAATTATGTATTTTGCATACAAACAATGATTTATTTAATATTAGCTTCGTGAATTATCTGAACGTCAGATCACGTTTCAGAATTTTCGATATGTTTTGAATCCGTCTTCCACATTATGTATCGTAAATATCAAACAAGCATGCCCCTTAATATAGTTGCAAACTTTTACATGTAATGAATAAACATGGTAGGCTTAGTCTGCAATTTCAATCCGTAAGAATCGTTTCATATATATATATATATATAACAGAGGGCTTTGAGACTTAATTTGGGGTTGCTCTCATTTGACCTTTATTAGTTATATGAATACTAGTAATCTGTAGTTTGTGTCTTTAGCATATTGTTATGGCAGTCACAGTACACCGAGAAAGCGGTGGCACATTTCATGGAGGAAACCGTTATTATAAGTTTGGTAATGCTGTTTCAGATTCATAGCTCCTCACCTTCCTGTTTACCGAATATATTCGAACACAAAATGGTATTGCATGAAATACTCCTCAAATTTATCTACGGAACTGCAAATGAAGCTTCCTGAAATTAGTTTTTTAGGCTTTACATATATGTGAACATGATTAACTGTGATATGTTTTGAATTCATTGCTCATCAACTTCCCAGTTACCAAACTCTTCAAGCGGGGGTTTCATTAGTGGGCAGTACCCCACAGTTTTACATGTTAAATCTTAATAAGTATGTTAACACTCATGAACAAACGAAGACTAACATTCTTTTGGGCGATTTTCTAATAGCCGCTCAGGAGTTATGTCCCTTTTTTGCTTGAGCAATGTCCCGAAAAATGAAAGACACACAAACCGGTTTCTAGCCTCATACAAAAAAGTTAATATTTTCTGGCATTGACCTAATATTGTAGATATATATATATTTTGTAAAGATACTTCATGCAGTTTGTTTTCAAAAAAAAACAAATGTTATATTTTAATCTATTGATTGACATATGTATTGTTAATTTGATCATAGTCGTTTGATACAGTAACTGTTTGTTTCGCCAAATCCTGATATGCTGACAAACCTTCCATTTTCATAATGTCAGCATAATGCTCGTTACTACAAAATAAAGAACACAGGATGGAATGTGCATTGTTAGTGGGAGACTATAATTATTTATAAACTTACCAACACATAACATATAAGACTGTCAAGGGTAAATGTACATTGTAAATATACAAATCGTTTAAAGTCATTTTTGTATATCAGAACATGAAAGTAAACATTAGGAAAAGTCATGCCGGTTGTATGCATTTTTGAATTGTAACTATAATCAATATATAGACATGTATGTACAATACATTAACATTAAAAAAAAAATGAAATTCATTTGTACGAGCTAAAGAAACGAGAGGGAAAACAAAACGAGGATGTTTATCGTCAAGCTTTTCTCCTGTTTCGTAGCACTTGCAAGCGTCAAGGAAGAATGTTTTGAACGACCCTATTTCAAAAGCTCTATACAAAGAAATTGAGTATTTTCTGACAATAAACATACATTGTTTTTTTTTTTGCAATTTAAACTTGACGCTGAGGATTGAAAGTAAATTCTTTAATTATCAACCACTGTCTTTGCTTATTACACAAATTAGAGATTCGTAAATCCGGGCGGTAAAGCGTACAAAAAATAACTGTGACACAGAAAGTTATTTTCACTTACCATTCACTCAACATAGGAGCAGGACAACAAGCGATTTGATTTGCATAAGTACAACTAAAACATTTATTATAATTTGTATACCTTTTATTTGTTTATGCATGAAATATTTGCAGATAGACGTCAAACAAACAATGATCAATCAATGATTCTAATTTTATGTCATGTATTTGCACTAAACATTCCTGATGAATAACATGTTTTCCCTGCCTATTTAGATATTGCTACTCATAATTTCTACCGGTATACTATTATTTAATGTTTTCACAGCGTATCTTTTGTTTTTTTTATCTTGATTTAGAAGTGTATAATAGCAATTGCAAATAACATGATTGTAATTGTAAAATATATAATAGAGTTTTCTTATAAAGTATAAATTCAATTCTTAACTGATCGATCATTTTTTAACAATTCGATATGTTTATATAGAAAATGTTAACGAAAACAGATTTTTTTTTGCCATCAACTTTTTGAAAGCGTTTTCTCAAAATGTTGTTTATTATGAATTTCTGCTCTCACAAACAAAGCCTGTTATCCGTGCCTTTTGTCAAAGATCTTATTCTCAGCTCCTAGCTTGTTGTGTTTCAATCAAATAGAAATTTCGTAAGGATTCCATTATCAATAATGTTTTGTTTTATATTTTTCTTTTTATTGAGAAGGTTTATCATCATGCTGAAGTTTTTTTTTCATAGGAATGCAAATAATCGGTATATAATGCAGAAAATTGAACAAAAAAACTGTTTGTCAAATATACTTACCTATTTGAATGTGAATCGTTTATAGCTTTTCGACTATCTGTAAAACAAATGTGTTAATTAGAATTATTGTCACAGAAGATCCAATAAGAAAAGACATTTAAAAGTGCACAAATATGATACTAGGAACTTCTACTTTTTAAAATCTATTCTATATCAAACGTATAATATATTCAGCTGATCCGTTGCAATATGTTTTAAAGAATAGCACAGCAACAATATATAAAAAAAAGAACAACGATTATAGTGCTTGGAAAGTCGTCAAATATAATTAAAAGACTTTACATCTAACAGACAGACATATGTAGACAATCACTTTCAACAACTGTATGGGTATTATTTAATATCCATTTCAACCAGCCATTATGGATTTATTAGGAACGCTTAATCCTAAAACTTTGAAGCAAATGATGTATAAATAATCGAATATGCAAGAAGCTAAAGGACAAAAACAACACTTTATATGATAAGCTGAATTCACTTAAGGGCAGTTTGCATGAGGGTGTTTGGACCATAGTGTTTTTCTAATTTTCAAATTCATCCAATTTAACCAAAAAATGCTATAAACTTTGAACTCCTAATTTGTATCTCTCCTCTACGCTACAATTAAGGAAATTGCTTTATCATCGTCTGACTATTGCTAAAAAGCACGTGCGCTTTTGACACTGTTGTGCTAAAAAAAAATTTTGGCGTAAAATGAAGTCTTTACTATCTTAAATTTATTTTGTCTTTATTTATCTATTCATTCATTCAGCTGAACCATTGCAATATGTTTCATTTTTATAGTCACCTATATTTAAAAATGTGGACAACAAACTTGCCAATTTCCTTCAATATCTGCCAATAACTGAAATCTTACTGGAATGTTTCTTTCTTAATTATATATACTGTAATACGTTTTTCAAAGTTTAGATACCTTGTTTTTTCAATATTCGTCTTCTCGCATTTATGACCATCCAAATTATTAACAGAACAACAAACATGCTTGCTGAACCGCCTATGAAGAACCCAAATCTGATTATTGCTGATGATTCTGCTGAAACTGAAAAAAAAATGTAAACATGAATCAATATATATCTAGGCAAAATAAAAGATGCATGTTTTTTTTTTACCAAATCGGCTGCCGCAATCGAAAAATAATCAAAAGCTTTTTCAGATACACAAATATAGAATAGATTTTGAAAAAAATCTGAAGCACCAATACACAGTTAGTAGTGTGATCTCGCAGTTTGGCCCCTTGTGAATTTTTCAAATATAAAAGTTATAGTTCACTAAAATTGGTTTTAGATAGCTAAGAATAATTCAACCTTCATAGTGGGTTTATATTAACATCAGGATTGTTTTGTTTTCATGTTTTGTATGCCATTTTACCATTTTCTGATTGACAGTCCGTATTTTCACAACCGTACCAGCCACAGGTCCAGAAATTACGTAATGTTTCCCCAAAACAAATTTTCGCTTCAACTTTTCGATGCAGTTTTATGGAAAAACAAGGTCAAATGCGTGTGATTTTATATTTGAACTCTTTATAGATAACTGTCAATGGTTTCAGAAAAGGTATCACTCAAAGGGGTTGCAATTATACTCGAAATAAAAAGTTTGGGGAATATGATGTGCATGCCCCTTTTGCAATATTTGATGGCAAACAAATGAATAATGTGGCCATGAATACACAAAAAGGAATTTATGTTTCAACATTTTAACTATTGAAAATTAAATCTATGGAAGATAATAATGTCATACAATGATATGCAATTGTGTTACACAAACAGTTACCTTAATGTATTAGAAGACCAAGAAATGAGGATTGTTAACAATTTTCAATATTAATTAATTAAGAAATGATATCAAGCTATTTCCAGCAAAAGCCGACGTTTGTTTTCATCATAATCCACAATAACATAACCGACTACACCAAATACACCTACAGTAATTGTGACATTATGAATTACCTGGCGTCTCGCACTTGCGACCACGGTAACCGTCGTTACAACCGACTCTGCAATTCCCTTCAAAAATGTCACAAGACTGATTGAAGCAAGTCGCACATAAGTAAGCGCAATTAAAACCAAAATAGCCAGATACACATTCTGAAATAGATAAACTAGAAGCTAATATATACTGAACATTGAATTAATGATTACATCTATCACCTCCGATTTTTGATGGGATTCGTATTGCTCAGCCTTGAGTTTTCTCTGTTGTATTTTGAAGAACGTTGTTTCTTTTTCAAATTGCCATAGCCATTCAAACTACTTTGTATAGTATTGATGTTTTAAAAAGTATTTGGCATGATTAAATCAAACATGTTAGAATAAACCCATCATAGATACCAGGATTGAAAATTTGTATTTGCGCCAGACGCGCGTTTCGTCTACAAAAGACTCATTAGTGACGCTCGAATAAAAAAACGTTAAAAAGGCCAAATAAATTACGAAAAGATGCTTAAACATTTTTACTTAACCATGGTATTTTGAACCCCCACCATTAATAATTGAACCCCTATCCAATCAAAGGTATATTTAACATTTAACAATCGTTTGGAGCAACTACAAAGGTTGACTATCCATGGGGGTTCAAATTCTGATAGGGCAAAATTGACCCTGTGGTAAATTTAATTCTGATAGGGCAAAATTGACCCTGTGGTAAATTTTCCATATGATAATTTGACCCTTGGGTCACTATTCAGGGGGAGTGGTAAAAAAAACTATATGACACCGTAGGTGATCACAGATGCTTCAGAGTGGTCATCATATCCTGCTCCACTAGATACATCCGATGTTTTACCTATGTTATAGCTAACCTTATATGAAACGCAAGGTTTTGAAAATGGTACAATATAAGAGAGATACTCAATTAAAAAAAGTATAAAATAAATACTAAACTCCAAGGCAAATTGAAAATGGGGACGTTTATCAAAACTGACAAAATCAAACGCTTTCAATCGACGGAACAAGTGAAAAACAATTGCCATATTCCTGAATTAGAACAGGCATTTTCAGAAGAAAATGGAGGGTTAAACCTCGTTTTTAACAGGCTACAGAAAATTGGAAAGCTCACAAATGGAAAGCCAAAATCCTCTTTAATGTGGTAAACCAACCCCATTGTCAAGTTCTAGACACTTATCAGGATATGAGGTAGACATAACTGTATCTATCGAATCAATTTACAGGTCTGACGGGAAATATGCGTTTACCATAGAAACTATATAGTGAGTGGACATAATCTACTTACCAGAACGTGAAGTTTAGCAAAAAAAGGAAACTTCTTTTCATTCTTTCTTTAGCATGTTTAGCTCATGTAAGATTCATATGAATAAAGTAACACGCCAGTAAGAACCGGAGCACAAGTGTTTAACACTATAACCGTTTATATTAGTTCGCTGATGAGCCTTTAAGTAGGCGAAACACGCTTCCGGTATACCATTTTATAAGGCTGGTATCTCTAAAAAGCTTTTACAAACAAATTCAAATGTTTGCTTTCTTTTTTACCTTGGTCACATGAGTCACCTTTCCATCCCATTTTGCAGCCTTCATCTGGACATTTACCAGTAAATATGTTGCATGGTTTTTTAAGACAGTTACACATCTTATTACAATTAATTCCAAAATGCCAAACTTCGCACGCTACAAAAAAGGTTTCAAAAGCAATCACAAAAAAATAAAAACCTAATATGAAACAATATTTATACTTATATATTACAGTTGTCGGATCAAAGATATTTTGATATGTAATACCTAATATGAAGAAATTAAAAGAAAATGGCATTATACTATTTTTCCAAAAGACACCATGGCCCGCTCGTACTATCACAATTTAATATAAAATTCAGGGGATGTGGTATGATTGCCAAGGAGACAATTATCCACCAGAGTTCAAACGACGTGGATAAAATCAAATATAAGTCACCGTACATGTTTCAACAATGAGAAAAACTATACCGTATGGATATAGGCAGTTATAAAAGGCACCGACAAGACAAATGTGAAACAATTCAAACGAGAAAACTACGGGTTTATTTACAACAAAATAAATAAATGAATTCAGAGGTAAAGTTACGTTGACAATTTTTAATAAAATTGAGAATGGAAATGGAGAATGTGTCAAAGAGACAACAACCCTTTCGTAAATCTATTTTTAATATACAAATGAAGATAAAAACAAAACAAATTAGGAGATTCAAAATCCCGAATTAGGCATACGTTTTAAAAACATTTATTCTTTATGATCACGTTTTTTTAGTTGAGAATACATTTAATCCATACTTTGACATTACCATGTACTTTGCACCGTGAAATCTAGATAAAACCCCTTAACTGTTATATATTTAAAAACGTTCACATCATAATGAATAAGTGTACTATCTTTAAGGTGGATGTTTAAAAAGTGTAACAAAAATACTGAACTCCAAGGCAAATAAAAAAAATGGGGAAGTCCATAAAAACTGACAAAATCAAACGCTATCTGATTCAAGCAACGGAACAAGTGAAAAACATCTGCCATATACCGGACTTGGTACAGGCATTTTCCAAAGAAAATGTTGGGTTTAACCTGGATTTTCCGTAACTTCATGGAAGAGAATCTTAAACCAATACTTAAACCTGATAACGGACAGACAAACGGACGGAAAACGTACGAAGGGATGATCTTAAAGACGCACGGATATGGAAACAAAAACATAATGTCCATATCATCGAAGACGAGAGAAATGACAACCATTTTTATGACTTGCATAACTACATTATCTGTCCAATTTGAACATATAAATTGTTTTGCACTTGTTTATAAACATATAAAACTAGTGAAACTTACTTTGATTACAATATTTTCCATACACATAGCCAGGTTTACAAACACTGTCAATTTTGCAATCTCCATTAATATGATAACATTCATTAACTATACATCCATCACATGTCTCCGAACAATTCCAACCAAAGTTTCCGTTATTACATTCTGAAACAGCCAATTAAAATTTAAATGTACATAGTGGCCTGATTTGTTTGTCAGGCAATTACAATCCATATGTCTTGTAATCAGTCCTTTATTGAGCGCGTATAATTTATTTCGAGCAGCAGGGGTTCATCTAAAGCCATACATCTGCTCTATTTGGTCACAACTCCACATGGTGAAAATTGTAAAATTAGTTCCTAATTTTGAAGACTTTTGCTTCTGAATTCCTTCGATTATCAGAACAAATTATAGTGTAAGTAGCCGGAAAAATAGTCCGGATACTTTTTCTCCGGCAGGTCGAACATGTTAGTGCCTTAGGTGTGTTTACCCAACATCAAAGATTACGCAGATAAATCAGTCTCATACTATACATTTCTGGCAACATTAACAATTACTGTGAACCAACTAATTTTCGCGAGTAAAATAATAACGCGAATATAAATCGTGCGAATATGTAAAACTTGCATCTTTCCTTATATACAAATAAATAGAAAATTACAAAATCGCGAAACTAATTCGCTGGGAAGTCGTAATGAAAGAGGTTAACGCGAAAATAAAGTATCCACTAGGATAAGTTGGTTTACGGTATCATGATTACAAGCAATTTTCTTCTTGTAGGGTCGCTTTATCGTAAAAGTATACCCTACATTAAGCACTGAGCAGCCCTTTTTAAACACACAATTCAATCCAAAATTATTTATCTATTCATCATTTAACGAGAAAAGAATATTAAATGAAAGCTTATTTAACAAGGTATTGTCTTGCAAAATATTACATCCCACTTTTAGATGATGACGAATAAAATTCATCCTCAGTGGGTATAATAAAATAACATTTACCCGCGTTTCGATCAGTATAGCGGGTAAATGTTGTATTCTCGGTATGCAATCGTTAATTTTCGGTAGGCCGATGTTAAACTGTCCAATTTGGCGGCTGATTTGTTGTCATATCTAAGGTGGTTTGTGTGGTAGTATCACTTTCTATCCGTCGTTTGACCGAGTAAACTAATAGCCGCCAATTTGCAGCAAGTAATTCAGACAGAAGTACAGAATGCTGTTCGATTTACACAGGACCAGTTGTTGAACAACATGACTAAGTTATTGGATACACGTCTAGAGGTATTCCAGAAAAGAATACAAGACAACCAGAAAGTGATGTCAGATACGCAGATAGCAAGAATGGACGAATCCATGATTGACATTTACAAATTTCAACCATCACAAACAGAACCAGAAAGTGTTCATGAAAATCCAAGAAGCACACCGCCGAATTTGAGACCGACAAAACCTGACGCAGTCCAACATCAACAGTGTTAAGAGAAAAACTGCTGAAGGAATGGATTTAATTAAAAATCAGACTAATATTAGATGCAAGACTATCAATCCACATGTCGTTAAGTTTAAACACAAATATGAAGATGGAAAAACTGCAAGACAATTATACGAAAAAACAGATTTGATCATCATATAAGTATTTTTCAAGCAGACACGATATGTTTCAATTGGGAGCATGCATATTATGTGTACAACGATTTGCCTTTTGGATTGTCAACTAGCGGATATTTTTATTCTAAGGTAGTCAAGAAGGTTATCAAATATTGGAGAAGTACAGGTCTAAGAACCGTCATGTATCTAGAAGGTGGCCTCGGAGGGGGCAAAGACATGGAAGAGGCTATGTTAGCGAGTGCAAAAATTTCAGTCTGATTTGGAGAAAGTTGGTTTTGTTCTTGCACCAGAGAAGTGCAATTGACCCTTATTCAAAGTTTATATTGGTTGGGCTTTCATTGGGATATGGCAGAAGGGGTGATAAAAATTACTCAGAAAAGAATATAAAAGCCTTTGAAAATTTTAGAAATTTCCGGGCACATTTTCACTGTGGTATTAGGCTTTTCCATTGCAAGTATTGTAGGACAGATTATAGCAATGCAGCCTGTATTAAGAGATCAGGCACGTTTAAGAACAAGGTATTTGTATCAATGTTTATTAAAAGGACAATTTGGAACGCCCAGGTACTAGAAAGTACGGACGCATTCAAAGAATGCAATTTTGGGAAACAGAAAGCTAGAAGGATAGAAATTGGCAGTTGAATGTACAAACTTTATCCGAAGATGTTTGAACTGTTAATCAACTCTAAAAGAGACAATACATTTAAATCATATTTTAATTTTTACAAACGATGGGAACGTTTCATTTCATTGCAAGGTCATAAATATTTGCCAGCTCAGCCAATTCATGTTGCACTGTATTTAACACATTTATTGAACAATGATTCAACTTATCATCGCGTTTTAATGCAGTATACGGTATTAAATGGACACATGAGATAAATGGACTAAAAAAACCCACAAAAACACTTTCGTTACATCGATTCTTGAAGGTTCTAAAAGAGTAGCATAACATAGACAAAACAAAAAGGAAGATCCAATTACTCCTTAAACTGTAATTGAATTTTGTGACATGTTTAAAGATTCTTCAGATTTGTTTGTAATAAGACTTTTTGCAATGCTGATTTTGAGTTTTTCATGATTTCTTAGATGTGGTGAGGTCAGGTTCGTACGTTTTTATGATGTTAAAGTACATGAACCTCAATTGTTTTGCATATTAGTAAAAGCAAAACCGACGAATATAAACAAAGCTACGAAGTGTTGATTTTTAGGGGTATCTCATCTGCCTGTACTTACACAATGTTTATTAGGTTCACTAGTTTGGCGGGTTTTAATGATTCTGGTCAGCAGATTTTTTTTTGAGTCTACTTATTTATAGATCTCGTTATACATGCATGTTCATTGCTAATTAATACAAATTTAGTCACACAGCGACTAGAGAGTCAATTCTTAAGAGAATAAGAACAAATTGTCCAGAGGGAAACATTTCTTCATTAATTCAGATAAGGTGGAGCCACGGTGGCCGCTAACGCTGATGTTAGCGACAGATGCTTAAAGAAGCACGGTAGATGGATGTCTGACTCTACATAGTAGATTCCACAGATAAACGTTTGAAGATGTCTAAGGTATAATGTCTGTCGATTACCCCTTTCTTTGAATTTATATCACGTACGATGGGTTGTCGGCAAATTTGAAATTGCGTTTGAGTTATTTATGTTTCTGTCATGGGTACGATGTAGGTGTTAGTAGTTTACTGTCAGTGGCAGAAAAGGATGTGTGTTTGTCGTCTATAGTATAGATATCACTCATAATTTTCATCCACAGTTAGTGTTTTCCCGTCAGAGCTGCAAATCACTTATTAAAACCAAATCATTAATTCATATTTATTTTCAGACTAATTCACTGCAGTAAATTCAGTACTGTTCAGACAATTTGCTTGCAGTTAATTCTGAGCTGTTCAAAAGCTTTTCAGACAATTCAGTATGGAGTTGATGTGTACAGGTAAACAACATCTACTGAACAGTCTGAACATAGATCGAACAGATCTTAATTGACTTCAAGAGAATTGTCTAACCAGTACTGAATTCATTCACCGCAGTGGATAAATCTGAAAATTGACTGAAAGACTAAAAATGTTTTGTTTTTATTTATTTACATCAGGAACGCTAAAACCCCAACATATGAAAGCCAAAAAAATAACTAAGTTCATCTATGGTCAACTGTACCTGACGGGGATATAACTTAATTTCTTAATACTTTATGAATTTATTAGCGGATAATTCAGGAAACTTTTATAAACAATCATGTCAGCCCCGAAGCACTGACTACTGAGTTGATGTTATCCTCGGAGATGAACCGTCCACCAGAATTGGTATCGAATCAGTGCCAATAAATAAAATTAGCAGTCTATTAATTTCGTGCGTCCGTATCGCTTTTCTAAGTTTACATTCATCATGAACGCTTTATACCCAAACAAAAAGAAATAGACCGCATCTTAAATATTTAAACTGTTCGATGGACTATTAAAAAAAGTAATGGTCAGATATGGTACTGCTTGACATTGCGGTGCAAGGTCTCATTATGAAATGCTCCGTACAATTTATGGGAACGTTGAGATAAAATATTATGGATTTTTAATAAAAATAATGCAACCTTCGTCGTCGCTGTTGGCATGCGGACAAATCTATTCGAGTGAGCTATTTATTCGAGCAGTGAATTTAGAGGTCTTTGATGTGTTTGAATAGTATATAATTGATGATCGTGAATAGTGTGTCCCCCCCCCAACCCTCCCCCCGGAAAACATGAATTAAACAAACATCCTCGTTTGTGTGGATTTTTTTCGATTTCAATCTGTACTTACAGTGCAGGGATAATACACACGATGTTGTGCCTGCAAAATTGTGTCATATTTGCTCACAATAGCAGGTTTCTGCAATATAACAAACATTACATCATCAAACTGGCAGCTTTCTTAAATGAATCAGATGTATTATGTTTATGTCTACAACTCTCCCCTGGGAAATCGAAAGCTGAACAATAACAGTCGTTTCAAGTAACGTGCAATATAATTCTAACCACACAGATCTTGATTTAAATAAACAAACCTTCTGTGCAATTGAATCCTTGCCATCCTTTCTTGCAGCCTGCCTTACATTTTCCCGTCATATAATCACAAGATGATGATAAACAGTTTGCTGGGCAGTCTCGAAGGCACTGGTCACCGAATTTTCCTTCATCACAGGCTGTTAAATAAAATAAGTAGTTTGCATAATATATTATTTCCTTAAAACTGCCACTAACAGTGGCAAGACCACCTTGTAAATAACCCATTTGTTCTATAATCAACGATTTTATAATTAAAGTTGAAACTACGTACAATACAATGCATACTATACGTTGCAGAAACTTGATTCCTTCAAATTAAGGTCGATTTGAAGTTAAAAACGATATCTCAATGTCATCTCTCTGTAAGACTAACACAGTTAAAATAAACTTTCATTAAAGCAAAATGAGAAATTTAAGAAATGCATAAACTATTCCTGCAGGCTGCAATACCTAAATATTGCCAACATTACCGAGGGCCTACTTTCAAACCAATTTAAAAGGATATTCTTACAAAAAATGTCCATTAAGGTAAAACTATCAGTTATGTAAATGGCAAGCAGAAGGTACATGTATAGGAAATCAGCAACTAAATTATCAATTTACCTAAAACTATTATCAAAGTTCTTGAGATATTTAAGACACACTTTTTATTTTATTCTATAAACAACTAAGACTTTGTCCAATATACTGGTTTCCATAAAATAAACAAAATAAACGCTCTAAAGAGAGCTTATGTCCCTCGCCTAGGTCTATGTTCATCTTCAACAATGGACACTCTCCAACATTTTAGACTAAAATAGATTTCATGACAGAAATCTCTTATTGTTGATCTTGAATTCCAGATACCTTTTTTTTTAGTTTACAGCTTTTCCCTTTTTTCCCAGTGTTTGCCCAAACACAAAAAAGGGGAAAAAAATCATTGAGGAGTTATACCACCATCGTTTTTCCCCTGTAAGTCTAAGTTAAATTGGAACTTTTCAAAACAAATGTGTAGAATGTATCATAGTTTCAAATAAAGAAATACTTGGCATGAGTAAAGTTTCATCCTGTCCAGTACTCCAGTGACAATTTCACATAACATTTCACTGCATATAAGATAATAACAATCACTGCAAGTTAACCAATAAAATGTTCACCCCTTTTTTCCTCTTTACAAGCTTTAGTAACCATGTCACCTCAAGTTTCCAAAATATTTCATAGTGACACCAAATAAAAAAGAATGGTGCTTTGCGACACATAAGATATAAGTTTATGACCTACAATTTTTTTTCTGCAATGAAATGCAGGGTTAATTTCCTACAGCTGTCAAATTCAAGGGAATAGTTTTGTCGACCCCTTTACGTATGAAACCAAATGTGACGTACAAAGATTTGGTGGCACCCTAAGGAGAAATTTTTGTAGAATAAACTGATTGGGATTTCTTAGTTTAAAATACTGGTTATTTCAAGCATTACTGTCAAGTCTTGTAATAATCAGTTCAATGGTTTCAGAGAAATTTAGTATAATGTAAGACGACATCTACAGCGATTTATGCAAAAATTCAAATCACGCCGCATCATGATAGAATACAGTGTGGACCAATAAATGATCAAGTATTCATCGCATCTGCTTAAAACAGCCGAATAAGATACACAAGATGACTCTAAGATAATAAACGCCACTAATGTACCTCTCTTTTCCATTAATAGGTCCCTTTTGGTCCATGTTTACATCTCATTTCCTCAAAATTTGCACTTTTACGGTAAATAAATCAATTCGACCCGTTTTTTCAACCCTGTTTCTTATGAAACCGGATGTGACGTACTGTGATTTGATGGTATTACACCTTGACGGACAATTACTTCTATACAGAGTCGCGTGAGGATTTCGGTAAAATTTGACTTACATATATTCGTGGATATTGTCTAGAAGGTCATTTTTGCTATTTAAAGTGTCTAAACTATTGACAGTTTTCAAGATCATAGTCAAAGGCGCAAAAAAGGGATAAAACTCGTTATGAAAGAGCATGAGCTCCAGAAATGAGTAGATTGAAAATTTCGGACATGTTGACTCATTTGTAGATCTTGTCTTGTCGATCATTTATGATAAGATTTTGACGTTTCTATCTATCTATAATAGTTTTAAAGATAAAAGGCAAAATTACAGAAAATATTAAACAGCGTCATTCAAGGACAATAACTCCAATAAACAGTCAGCTGACGATTTTGCTCATGTAAATTTAATGTAGATCTTGTTTTGCTAATCAATTTTGCATTAAAAAGTTTATCTCTATCTAATATACTAGGTTTCAAAATAATAGGCAAAAATGGTAAAAATTGATACAATTCGTCTTTTCAGGGCAACAACTCAAAGAAGAAGTCGTCAGCCAGTTTTAATAAAAATAGACAGAAGTTAGATCTCAACATTGTGAACATTTCTGTCTATCAGATTTTCTATATTTATATAGACGTTTTGAAGATAAAAGACAAAATGTGCATTTCAATTCTTTTTGCTACTATTAGCCATGTCGTTTGCTACTACTAGCCATGTCGACCACGTTGGTTATATATTTAGTGGGGGTTCATCAAACAGAAGTTTTGTAGGAAACTATATTTGTTAAAATTTTGAGAAAAGCTCACCTAGCCCTGTAGGCAAGACGAGATAAAAAGCATAAACGTTAAACACGTACAAGTATAACCAAAATTTATAATCAATTGATTATCATTGATAATTCGTATATTACTATATTTTTCTGGAAAAAGTGCACCAAAAAATAGAGAACTCCAAGGTAAATTGAAAAAAAGGGGAAGTCCAGAAAAAATGATAAAATCAAACATGATCAGTCAACGGCACGAGTGAAGCATGGCTGTCATGTCAATGTCCGAAGATAATGGTGGACTGAACCTGGGTTTATCGTGCTTATAGCTTGTTTAACCTCTCACTTGTATGACGGTTGTTTCTAACTCTGTTATATTGACAAAATTGGGTGATCAACCCAAAAAGATATAAAAGTTAAATGACAATAAATGGGAATTTACAATCTGATTGATAGCTTACTGTTATTTGTAAAACGATGACATATTATAATAGCAAACGGAAAGTGAAGAGTTCATGGTTTTAATATCAGAAACCGTTGAATATTGAGATATTTTCGAGATATTTTATTTCTAGTAATGATTTGCATTGTTACTTGTACGTAAGACTTACGCTAAAGAATACATTGTTATCATTCCTGTAACGGATGGGAACTATTTATCGGGGCACTGCAAACGTTATGGCAGAAGCAATTATCGTTGATTCAAGTATCTTGAAGTGGCATGAAAACCTCATGCTGATAGAAATGGAATACGTGTTTCGTTCATTTCGAGTTAAGCCAAATAATATGAAACAAATTAGCATATATCATACGTCTTAAAATTGACTGAAAAAAAGAAAATGACTTAATACTATGTATTTAATGTTAAGGTTTTGATCAAATGCACCAATCAATGATATTACTAATCACTATTGATAAGAATGTTGTTTTGTGATCAATTTTTCGGTTGTAAAAGAAGCACATCAAAATAAATAACTTCTGTTGATCATTGGATGATAAAATGTTAAGTCTCAGCATGGATTGCAGCTATATATCTTAGATTACCAAGCCTTGTATATACTAATACAGATAAACCTTAAAATTAAATTAATTTCACTACGCATTATTTAGACATTAGTAGAAATAATGAAACTGTTACCTCTGTCACATTTTTCACCAAGCCAACCAACTGAGCAACCCAAAACACAGTTTCCAGTTATTAAATCACACAATCCCATACAGTTTTCGGGACAAGTCAATTCACATCTGTCTCCATATTTCCCATAAGAACATCCTGAAAGTAATGAGTCGTATTGCCCATGATTGTCCTCAACATTCTGTCATTGATTAAAGATGGTTCACACGCAATGTCAAGTTTTAAACATTTTCAAAGTAAGCATTTTTGTTCAATTTATATTTGTATTGTATGCTGTATTGACTTTATAATTTGATTTCCTGGCCAAAAAAGATACAAGTATCTTGTCTTAGAGAAGGATAAATCTTACTTTGTAAAATTTTGCTCTGAATCAAACAAATTCTCTGAAACTGACATTACCAAGATGCTTGATTTCTTGATTGAGAACATATTTGTTACATTTGGATGACGTGTTTTTCAATATACAATCGGCATTCCCATTGAAACCTACTGTGCTCCTCTTCTTGCTGACTTGTTCCTTTATTCATATGAGGATGACTTCATACAGGAACGTCTTAGGAAGAAAGAAAAGAAGTTATCCCTATCCTTTTATTTCACTTCCCGCTATATAGATGATGTTCTCTCACCAAATAATTCAAAATTGGTGCCTTTGTTGAACGCGTCTATCCCATCGAGCTTGAGATAAAGGATACAACAGATACAGTTAAGTCTGCCTCATATCTTGACTAACATCTAGACATTGATAATGAGGGTCGATTGAAAACAAAACTTTACGACAAAAGAGATGATATCAGCTTCCCAATTGTGAACTTTCCATTCCATATCTATGTAGCAACATTCAAGCAGCGCCTGCATACGGAATATATATCTCTCAATTGATACGATATTCGAGGGTTTGTATTTCCTATCATGATTTCCTTGTTAGAAGGTTGCTGCTCACAAGTACGCTTAGAGTTCCAATTGGTGAAGTTTAAATCATCACTTCGAAAATTTTACGGACGCCATCACGAGTTGTTTGACCGTTATTGAATATCTGTTTCACAGATGACAACTGATATGTCCAATTATCGTAACTACAATCCCGTCCTCTTTTCCCCGAATTTGACCTACCGAATTAGACTTATCACCGGATTTGAACTTGCATGAGAAACACGACGGTTGCCACATGTGATGCAGGATCTGCTTACCCTTCCGGAACACATGAGATTAGTTTATTTTATACCTATGAGTTTGAATGTTTCTTTGGTATCTTTCGCCTCTCTTTGATAATGTTTATTAATCACGGATATGTTCTAATTCTTGTATACACAATCCAAAGTCATTTTTCCTCATTATTCCATTAAGGAATTCTATTGTTTAATTAAAAGTCATCCAAACCCACCCAAGCAGAAAGTATTGATCTATTTTCTATATTAATATGCTCATATGCGCTGGTTATTTTAAAAGTATTTGTTTTGCTTTCCATATATATGTATGCTCATTAGCATTGATAATATTTTTTGAAAAGATCATGGAATACATATTATTGACATTGGTTTTATTTATATTGATGTTTTATATGATTACGGGATTTTTTATGGTGTTTCACCTCTTATTTTTTACGTGGCGAGGATCTTGATTTCTGACTGTTGGAAACAACCAATGAGAATCATGGTTAAGGAAAATAATAGAATAGCTTTAAACGTTCAAGACAATCGAGCTGAAAGTTATAAACCTTAATCAAGTACAAATAAATATACTTGTTACAGATCATTTCTTGTAACTGAATAATATTTAGCAACGTATTAAATATCCGGTGTATGGTCCATAATCTATCACAATCAGTGAAACGTGGAGGCCGCTGAAGATCCTCGCCACGTAAAATATAAGAGGTGAAACACCATAAAAAATCCCGTAATCATATAAAACATCAATATAAATAAAACCAATGTCAATAATATGTATTCCATGATCTTTTCAAAAAATATTATCAATGCTAATGAGCATACATATATATGGAAAGCAAAACAAATACTTTTAAAATAACCAGCGCATATGAGCATATTAATATAGAAAATAGATCAATACTTTCTGCTTGGGTGGGTTTGGATGACTTTTAATTAAACACGGATATGTTCTAATTCTTGTATACACAATCCAAAGTCATTTTCCCCATTATTCCATTAAGGAATTCTATTGTTTCAGAATTTGAACTTGCATGGACTACATGACGGGTGCCACTTGTGGACCTGGATCTGCTCACCTTTCCTGAGCACATAATATTAACCCCTGTTTAGAGGGGTCAGGTTTTGTGTAATTTTGTCTATTTGTGATTCTCCATTTTGCCCCGGTATTGTCTATTTTCTTCGATTTAGGATTTTTTTTCATTCCCCCTTGATATACTCATATTATCGTTTAAAACATAATGTGGTATCAAATTAAATTTGTTCACCCTGAACATAAGCGGGATCCTCTAATTTCATGTCATTTAATAATTACAAATAACGTACTAAATTCGAAAATTTTATATACTTACCACCTATTTCTATTTCACATATGTCGATCTTAGAATTTCCATTTAGAATGGGCGGTATATAAATAATATATTTGCAAACAGCAAATACGTCGGTGTCATTGTTATGATACTCAGCATTGTATAACACTGTACCATCAGCCCATGAATCAGTAGTATTAGAACAATACACTTTGTGAATACCGACAGGAGGATTCATGTCTGTAAGATAGAAATAACTGAACTGAGACTCTAGTAATTATGAATAAACAAAACTGTTCAAGAGATAAGAATACACAAAGAAAAACGTCCAGAGATACATTTAGAAAAAATTGGCTAAAGAAACCTATTGACAAATTGACAATATATTACATTTTACAAGTAATATTGCATTTAATGCTTCTTGTTTTATGTGTATTCCATCTATTACTCATTTAAGTCAAAACTCCGACAAGTAAGTTCATTTAAAAATCGTATAATAAGCTTGTAGTTTAGATGTAACATATTTCATTGCTTTTTCTTACATATTCGTGTCCATGGGAATGTAAATCAGCAATGTTTATCTCGCTTAAATTGTTACTTCTCGTCGATTGTTTTTTATCAATCTGATAGATACAGGCATCTTCCAGCTTTTAATAATTATTTCGTAGTTTGTTACTTTTCACCAACCTGTTACTGTAATAAAGACTAGATATTGAAATGAAAATAAGACTGTATGTCCTTCCGACAACAACTTCTAAAATAAATATCCGTTTAATTTATAGCCCACATAAAACATGTAAAAATTCGTAAAGTTGCGTTTTTTTTATCATAGATAAACAGTTTTGGGTAACTTGTTGATACACGTACTAGTTCAAGAGGTGTTAATAGTACCTGTTATGCAAAACGCAGCACATGTTCGATAATATTAGTTACATAGTGTGGTAGACCTAATACGATATATAAGGGGTCAGTAAATTCCATACGGGTGAGAGCGAAGCTCGAACCCCATAAGCAATTTATTGTCCCCATAAATATCGTATTAGGTCACCACCACACTGTGTAACGAATGTATCATACCGACTATCTTGAGACATGGCATTTCGACTTGTGGCCTATCAAAAAAGTAAAATAACAAAAATACCGATTGCTTTTTTGTCATAATAATTATAGATCAATGGAAAAGTATGGAATGTGCTTATTAGGTGTATTATAAAACTGAACTGTCAATAACTTTTCGATGAACCGATTTCTTATATTTCAAGGCAGAAATGTAGAATGAGAGTACAAGAACGTATCATATTTAAATTAAGTATTTAATCATGTATTCAAACAAATGTTTACGTTTAGTTATAAAGCATAGTTCTAAAATATTTTTGTTGAACTTTCAATCTCAGATAATACGGTGTACTATAGACCAGATATTATACACGGTCTCCACGAGGTAGCTTTTCAGTTATAATGGAAAGTAACACCACTACTAACCGTGCATTAGAATAAGCCACGTCTAATAACCCCATATGAAATATACACGGTCTCCACGTGGTAGCTTTTAACCAATGATATTCCTAGAAATGTATAGGTTGCAATTCTGTAAATATAGACAATGCAATTTTCCATAGGAACTCCCTTTGCGTCTAAAACTGTGTCACTTTTACTGTGAAGTTTCGTGAAAAACTATATCCCAGAATGGAAAGTTGATATGCACTACTATTTCATTCAAAGGTCAAAATATAGGGCTGTGCGGCATATTTTCAACATTTATATGCCCTGAACTTCTAAGAGTTTAAACTTATACTAAAATTCTATACTAGCCCTAACTCCATTTTTGGACCTCCTAAGAATTAAATTTTAGCCGCTACCATGATATTCTATACTGGTAACATTCCCAAATTATGTCTCTATGAGATGAAACACAGAGATCATATCTGGAACCAGTACGTTAACAAATTAACATATCTATGAATATTATATATCTCCCCAAAAGAGGCGTGGCTTGTGAAACAGCTGTATTTAAAGTGCAACCTATAGGAGGTAAGATACTTTAACCTCGTATGTTAAGCACTAATTAAGAGCTTTCGAATCTTTTAAAATTATATTTCCTAATAGTTTATAATCCTGATTAGGACAATATCTTTCTGCAGCTTTAATTTATTAACAATTGAGACGTATCCTGGTCCTGTGATAGTCGTTAAGTCTTGCATAGAATCAATCTAATGCCATGCCTTAGGGTATAAGCATACTTTCGAAAATAAGTCACAAGATTTCTATTTTAGTATATTCATATTGTGAATTATCAATTTCTCGACACAATCTTAAATTCAAGGACCGATATTATTTTCATATCAACATAACGAGGAGCTGTTAATATCGTGTCTGTTTTTACATTGCCTGAAAATGTATAAAGTTTGCAATTATTCTTGTCAAAAGAGTGTTTGTGAAAGACAATTTTAAACTAACAAGCAGGCCGACTCATCGCAAAGTCAACAGAACTTCGACCGTAGCTGATAAATATAAACTAGCCATATCAGCGAGGGAAGCATTCGTTTATCCCGACACATTATCAGGGTTTTGTTTATACTATACAAAAAATAACTACAAGAAAGGCTGCAATCTAGAGGTTAAATTATTATGATCAAAACACAATTTTTATCATTACATTGTTTTACTCACCGTCATCGAAAAGATTTTACTCACCTCCAAAGAAAAGATACACCCCGGTTATGACAATTAACGATTCATTCCCAATCTGCATATACGATTTCGAACTGGTTGATACTATACGGATGCAGGAAGTGGTGTTTCCATCGGTTAATACATTTGCGGATAAACTTGGACCAGTAAGGCTTTGTTTTGCAGTTCTATTGTACACCGTATTATCTGAGATTGAAAGTATAACAAAAATATTTTGAAACTATGCTTTATAAGCAAACATAACAATTTGTTTGAATACATGAATAAATACTTAATTCAAATATGATACATTTTTGTACTCTCATTATACATTTCTACCTTGAAATAAAAAAAAAAATCGGTTCCTCTATGGACAGTTCAGTTTTATATTACACCTAATATGCACATTCCATACACATCAAAATAAAATCTTTAAATTTGTTTAATGAATATTTCGACTTTTTTACATTTCTGTACTTTACCATTTAACAAATCTGTCGAGGATTTTCATGAAGTTTGTTCTAATATTTTTATAATATGATGATCTTACTTCATACACACTTGATTTATCTCAGTATTATTATATTTGTAAAGTTTGGCTGTCACACATTGGTGCTTGGTATAAACTTTAAATTATAGCTATATATATTTATTTTGCAAACCTTTGAATATTTTCATTTAAAACGAATAATAGCTATTGTATTAACCATTTAAATTCAAATTGTATATATAGATTGTAAATAAATGAAAAAAGTTTCTGCTATTAATTTAAAAGAAAACCAATGGTCTGAGGTATTGGTGTGAACGTAAAACTATTGACATAATTTCTTCGTGATGTTTCGGATTTTTAGTAAGCGTAATCAAAGTTAAATTGAGCTAATGGACTATTCTCCAGCATCCACCTTCGTGTCCGCATGTGCATATGCGTCCTCAACCATTTTTTAACTATAGATTAAATTGTTATGAATCTTTAGAACTCGATTCAATAGTGTGAGCAGGTATTGTGAAAAATATTTTTGTCTTTGTTTTGTTTTTTCCAATTTCCTCAAACTTCGTAGCACGTTGGTGTTCCTTTTAATTTTGAAATGTTCGTGTACAAAAAAAGGACACGTCCATGAATTCAAGTATGTGGCTAGATGTAAAAGGGTCAACACATTTTATTTTCTTAAGATCAGCTGTTGTGTCCTAGATTTTAACTCGTTAACATCAATTAAAATAAGGATATTCTCCAAAATATGTAACTCAGCAAGATTTTCGTTACTAATGGTATTTCCAATTATATGTAATTCTAAAAATATATAGCATATACTGCATGTAAACTATTTCAAAATATATATAATTTTATATTACACAGTGGTATATAATCCTTCTGTTGAATCTTGATCTTGTTAATGCCCTGTTTACAAATGGTAGTGAAGCAAATCCGTTTATATGTAGCCAATATTGCTATCTAGTTGTATTGAAAAATCTTCGAGAGGGTTGTTTAACAATATAATTATTTACATGCATTTTTTTTTTATTGGTTTTGTTTTCAATTTATGAATATCAATCTGTTTTTTGTCACAGTCACTGTACATTTCATCAGTTAATTAAATATATAATAAGATCTGCGTGGCCTTTTAGAATAGCGAAATACTTTGCAAAGAATGTGGTGATATGTATATCAAAGGCTTTTTTTTAACGTGTTGCATCCTGATCTAATGTCTAATGACAAAATGGCAATCCTATGATATTTTAGGAAACTTGCGAAGGGGGTTAGAATATAATATATCACGATTATAGAAACCAACAAGTTTAAAAAAAACGATGATTTTTTACGAGAAAATGGTGCTGATTCGCGAGATTATGCCTGCCGGTAGTCATTTGAAAATTTAGTTCATTATTTTGGGAGTGTGTTTTATTTACAGAATCACAAGCTAAGAGGGCTTAGTCAACGATGAATACAGACGACGTTACGAGGATTATTTCCTCTTCTTTCTTCCCTTTCTTATGAATATACATGACTGTACATAATTGTAACTGCTGGTGCATACTTATGTAAAACCAAAAAAAGCTAAACATCTGTATAGTGCATAAAGTAGACTTTGTAGTTTTTGGTAATCCTTTGTAACATTTTATAAAGAAATATGTTTTAGGTATAATGAAAGCATTATTTCTTGTCCGAATGCGTCATCGATCGAGTGAAGGAACAGCGACAACGAAATATAAACAAATTATACTTGTTTCGAAACAAACTGGGTCTACTACAATGATATATAATTGCTGTGGTTTAGCGTTGATATGACTTCGTAGACTGACATAACATTGAGTCGTTTATTTCATTTATTAAACCTACAGAATGTACAATATCTCCCACCTCGACCTTGTACACATCCCTTCGTACAAACATCTGTTCTCGCATCACATTCTCCGTGATTACACTTCTGTACATCACAACCCCAAATACAGGAGCCATTTTGAGGAAAGCAGTGGCTGCCTATACATTCAACTGGACAATCAGTTGTACAATTGGGTCCCCAAGTACCTTTCCAGCATCCTTCAAATAAATACAAACATAATTATGATTTCGAAATGACACCTTTTCTTCTCAACCAAATTTCCAATGTAAAAATCTGCTTATACGATGTGTGTAGACATAATGTACATGTAGACTAGTACACTTTTCCTAGAATTTAATTTTTTTCAGAATTCCTCCTTTCAGTTGTGGTAGATTTAATTCCTTCAGATTTCAGATTTCCGGTGACGTAATATATTATGAGATAAATCATAATTACTCTCTTTGATTTTCCTTTTTTGTTTGTCAATTATCCCAATTTAATCACATGCAGCAAGTATATGCTGAAAAAATTCATATAACTCAGCCAAGTTAGTCGAAATAAAAAGAAATGTCTCATTTTAGTTAAATGGAACGAATGTTTACAAAGAATTGTTAAGGAGTTTCAGATCAGAAATGGACAATGGTATGTATTTTGATATAGCAAGAAAATATTGCAGTAAAAAGTAGTTGAGTTCAATGTAGATTTTTGGTGGGTATCATGTCCTTTTCATGCATGTGTACATTAACAATTTGCACATCACCAATTTGTTGTCAGATTAAACTATGATAAAGCAAAAGAAATGGCACTATCGGTACCACCTTTTATTGCACCAATCGTGATTTTCCTTTTTTTACTGGGGGAAATGCAGTTTGACTGTCTGATTCTATACATCACTTTGCTTTGATACTTTACCGTATATTTCAATGTAACATAATTCGATCATCGTATGTCTGTTGAAAAAATAAATATTCTTGGTAGGGTTATTATCCAAATCGATACTCTGATTCAGGTTAAGGTAGGCTTGGTTCGTCCAATCACTGTAGCATATTTCAACGTATGAATACACAGAACCATTGCCGAGGTACAACCGGAAACCATTCATGCGCTCTGGTGCTGTAAAACAAACAATATAGTAGTGTACTAATATGACACTTGTGTTGCTCAAGCAAGTAAACGTCGGGTTTCAACAAAAACTATGGTATAATTTACGAAACACCGCAAAACTATCCAAAAAATATGGAATATCTGTTTTAACCTATCGCATCGTTTGCTGTTTAAAATTGTATATTTTATATATTTTTGTTTGTTTACTTTAAAAATAGTTATGTTAAAGGAATTAGATGTTCTGGATATGGACACAAGAGACCCCATATTAAAAGTTGAACTGCAAAGGGTTAGTTTTTTTTTTATTTTATCAAAATGTTCGAATGTTTTAATTTTTTAATATTCATTTATAATTCTGAGAAAATTAATTTCAACAGAATCTTTTTGAGAGTTTGGATGAATTGTTCCACATTTTAATTTGTACCTGAAGCCCAAGTCGTACATTAATTAAAAGGGATTTCAAAATGTTCATGATTAAAATCACATGTTGACTAGCAATAATTTATAAAAAAAATAAGCTTCATATAGAAAAACCAGACGCTATCTAATTTTAACATTTTAACATTATTGTAATTACTTGAGCAACCTCGTTAAAGTCTAGATGTCAGAAATGTATAACAAATCGGGTGCTGATCCAGGATACAGAAAGGGGGGTCTACTAAGCCAACATTTGGAGTAATACAATGAAAAAGTCTACGCATTTACCATATATGGAGCTCCTTAAAAGGGGCTTGCTCCCTGTCCCCTACCGCAAAAAAGCCACCTCGGCAAACTCAACCTATACATGTAGCTGTACAGTGGAGCGTATGGAATACAATCCAAGTATAACAGTATAAATCTCAATAACCGAAAACCAACTTATATTTTCCAGTATAATATATACACATTTATATATTTTTTAAAAACCAAATTTGTTTGTTTATTTGTTCTAGGAGCGATTTTTATTTTCATTTAAAAATATAGGACAGCAGAGTTGGTGTACGTGGGTTCGATTCCCTTCCCACCCTAGGCATTCATTTATATCGGCTGGTGCAAAGCGGGCAGTTTAGCTTAGTGGCCCCGCACTGACTCTGTTGTTCAAATGTCAAAAAATTTAGGCAGCCAGGTCTTGCTATCTTTCTTTTTCTTGAATACAACAAAACCATGGTATAATTGTGAAAATTATACCATAGATATCTATGGTATAATTTCGGTTATTTAGATTTATACTCGGGTTGCATTCCCATAGGTTCCATTGCACGGCTATATGTTAATCTATCAAAATACAACCTACAGATATTCAGAGGACTATCAATCTGTAATCATGTTTTAAATTTTATTGTGTCTATTACTTTTGCTCATATCTAATTTTCTCAGAAATTACGAGTGAAATAGCTCTGTGGTGACATATATGTCAATTTCTTAATGTTTATGATATCATATTGACATAATTTAAAAATTACGGAAATCTCGGAAATCAAGTATCCTGATTATAATATCCTAAACATCATCGTAAAAAGTTCACATAACTTTTAAAAGGTTGAAAAGATATTCGCATCTTCAGAGGCAGGTCATGACACTAATCATGCAAACATATTCTTATTTTAAAGATTATAGTGTTTTTATTTTTTTGTTCATTTCTTTCGCTATCTAACATCCATCAATGTTCCAGTGGCAGTCCGAATTTTTCAAACTTCCTTTCAATAGATCAACAATCAAACCTATCTGTCTATTTTTTTATAATTGCCACATCGTCAACCGAACAACAATTAACCGATCAATCAGAAGGAAGATTAAAAAAGAAATAGTCATGCTTAGTGTGTCAGTCAAGTACAAAGCAGTGAGTTTTATTCTTCTTATCACATTAACATCTTTGCGTCCTCGTATATATGTTTTATTTTCCATTGGACGTTAAAAGTCCATCCCCCTCCCCCTCATTCTACTCCTCATCATCATCATTTAACTTTGTCTTGAATTAGTTTACATGTACAATCAAATTGAGCTGATTTGTACCAGAAAAACAATCCACTGATAAGATTTTATATCATTATTGTTCGTCCCCTACCACGAAGCGAAGGATAGATATGGAAATGTTGCAGTTCGTTAATCCTTCGTCCGTCAGTCCGTTCGTCCGTCTTATCTGTCCGTCTGGCTGCCTTATCGTGGTATCGTTTAGCTGTCCGTCCGATTGAAAATATAAAGAACGAAAGTTCTCATCGGAAAGTACTTGCGAGTCCTCTTATGTCGGTGATTTGTGATCATTGTTTACATGTAAGTACTTTTGTGGTTCGTATTGAGCTATAGAATTATAAGTTAGACATTTGCAACGGATTTTTACGGTTTGTTCTTATGTTGTGCTGTTACACCGCTGTCATAAGGTTAGGGGGACAGTTGAGCGCTCACAAAGTAGCTAGTTCAACCCCGCCACATTCTTCATGTGCCTGTTCCAAGTCAGAAGCCTGTAATTCAGTGGTTTTCGTTGGTTGATGTCTGTCATATTTTTTGTTTCGTAAATTGTATTGTTATAAATGATGCCATTACTTTTTCGCATAATTTTTTTTTAACTTTTTGTCAAATTGGGACTTTTATACTATATGATATGGTTTTTGCTCATTGCTGAAGGCCGTAGAGTGACCTATAATTGATAACAGTTGTCTAGTTTCTTAGTTATTAATGAATTTATCAAGGAGAAAATTTAAAAAAAAAAGTAGCAAATCAGGTCATTTCTAAAGTCCACTAACTTCTGAGCTGATAAAACCCTGTGTGACTAACAGTCCAGCAACAGTGGTATCAACTTTTTGCTCGTAAATGAAAATGATTTATAACTCCAAGGTGCTTTTCTGGATTAAACTTTATCAGGAACACTCAAATCTAGACATTTAATAGCCAGGGGTGTACATTAGGAGCGATATGACCAAAGGGAACCTAAAATGAATAGTCAAAAGTCATTCAAGGTTAACTTTAAAAGAAATTCAGTTCTTTAAAAAAACTTATTCTAAAAGGTTACCAATTCCACACTGTAGTTAGATCTTTGAATAGTGTTTGTATTGGTAGTAATAGTGATTTTGTTATCAGTAAATTAAAATCAAACGAAATATTTTTTTTATGCATATGCATATTCCTGGCTCTACAGTCTGTCGATATCTGTATCTTGGCATTCCACAAGGTCTTGTTTTTTTTCTGACTGTTTATGAAGTCTTTACACTAAATCCATTGGATGTTGGATGTGTACTGATTGATATTTTAGTCTTGGATGCATGATTCTTTTATAAGTTGTTATTGGTTTTGAACTAGTGTCAGAACATGTAACTGCGAGTACTCTCAGATCTGTAATTTGTGTCTTTTTGTTGTTGGGATGTATAAGTACCCTGCGACGTCCACTCTGTGTTTTTGTTACTTGATTTTGTGCTTTATATCTATCTGATGAGTTAAGCCCTTTTCCTCTGATTTTAATAGTTTGTTCATATGTTGTTCAGTTACACCGCTGTCCCAGGTTAGGGGGAGGGTTGGGCGCCCGCTTACATGTTTAACTCCGCCACATTATGTATGTGCCGGTCCCACAATTAAGTGGTTGTCGTTTGTTTTGCATATCATATTTGTGTTTCGTTCATTATTTTTGTACATAAATCAGGTCGTTAGTTTTCTCGTTTGAATTGTTTTACATTTATCATTTCGGGCCTTTCAAAGCTGACTATGCGGTATGTGCTTTGCTCATTGTTGAAGGCCGTACAGTGACCTATAGTTGTTAATTTATGTGTTATTTGGTCTCTTGTGGAGAGTTGTCTCATTGGCATTCATACTACATCTTCTTATTTTTATATTTATACTAGTCTAATAGATCAAATCAGAATTATGAAAATAACAAAAAAGTGATGGGCAAAGTTATTCTCGAATTACAAAAGAAAATTATCGAGAGATTAAATTCGAAAGAATTCAGGAAACTATTGAAAATGTGTAAAAATCGCGAGATACCTAGCACAAAAAACCTATACAATTTTAAAGCGTTAGCGAGTAACCACATGATAGGCACATCTTCAATATGACACTTATAGATCCGAAAAATGTTCTCGTGTCTTTTACATGTATATATGTCAAGAATTTAATAACAAAATGCATTACAAACAACAACAAAAAAATCTGTGCAGTCGATTTATTTATGATAAATATATTCAATCAACAGCAAACACATTCAAACAAATATGTAATGCTTTTTTTGTAATAGGTCACGTCACAGATAATTAGTTTAAGGAAAGTATAAGATCGATTTATTTAGTTAAGCTATTGCAACTTATATGATACTGTTTGTTCTTATGATGTGCAGTTACACCAGTGTTCCAGGTCAGGTTGATGGTTGAGCGACCACAAACACGTTTAACCCCGTCACATTCTCGTGCGCTTGTGTGTCAAAATTGTTTTTCGTAAATTGTATTGTATAAATTAGGCTGTTAGTTTTTATCATTTGAATTGTTTCCCAGCATTACCGTGGGAGTTGAAACCTTAGTTTCTTTACAATTTTAAAATGTATAAACGAAGGACTGACTACTGACCTGAGGATGCCACATGGGACTGATAGTCCCACAACAGCGGTATCGACCCAGTGCTGTGAAAAATGGAAACAACACTTTATATATTTCCGAAGAGCTTTTCTGGATTTACCTTCATCTGGACTGATCAAATCTAAAGAATGTGGCGTAGTTGAACATGTTTGGGAGCGCTGTTTCGTGTAATTTAGACTCATTTCAAGTTTCTTGTTCTAACTGGAAACTTAAAGTTAATGCAGATAAAAGTGAAATGGTGTTGTTTGACACGTTAAGGGAATCTAATATTTTCCAGGTCGGAAAAAAACTAGAAATAGTGAATGCTTATGATAATTAAGTACTACAATTAAAAGGAATGGACTCTTTAAGACAGCCAAAAAGTCTATACTACGAGATCCTAACATAAAAAGACATTACGGTCTTGCAATCAAAACACAGATCGAATGTTTAGTTAAATGATCAAATTTTTTTTTCTGTACAGGTGTTTTAAAAGTATTGGGTTTCATCAATAACGATATAGTGAAAACAAAAGTCCATTTATAATTGTAAATTGTTATTGTTATAATGTTTTAGATAACTAAAATTTGGTGGAATTTTGTAGATTTAGATCAACAAACCATAAGTTACCTAAGGAAGCATTGAAGCTGGTAGATAATATAATACGAACAGACGAAAGAAAAATTGAGCGCTCTGTAGAAATGCAAAAAAAAATGTAAACGGGAATAAGCTTCGGATTTGCTCCATGAGATGTATACAAATTAATCCGAGAACATGTTCATTGCAGGAAATATCGATCATTGGTTTAAGTCTTTGTTTAGAGTTTGAATTTAAAAACAAATATGCAATCTGCATCGAGGCTGATTCCTGTGTTTTGAGAAGAAGAAGAAAAAAGTGATACAAAACAATAAAAAAATGTATGTAAAAACTAGAGGCTCTAAAGAGCCTGTGTCGCTCACATTGTTCTATTTGCATATTCAACAAAGGACACTCTCAAACCTTGTAGACGAGAATAGAATTCATGACAAAAATCTCTGTTTTGTTGATCTTGTATTGCTGATCATTTAATCTGTTTAGTTTCTCTCTATATTCTTTAGTTTTTGCTCAAAACACAAAAGAGGGTGAAAAAAAATCCTCCTTTAAGGGCAATCACTCCTTTAAAGACATGAAAGAGTGACAGTCTACTAACTATATCGGCAAAATTTGACTTGTTAGTAGATCTTACCTTGCTGATCATTTTGTGATTTAAATGTCTATTTATCTATTATATTTGTTATCATATAAGGCAAAACGCCAAAAATGGTAAATATCGTTAATAAAGGGCAATCACTACAATAAGGAGTCGTCGGACGATTTCCTCCATATTGTCTTAATTATAGACCTTATCTTGTTGATCGTTTTTGCTCATTTAAGTTTCTATCTATCTATTAACATTTTAAAGATATAAGGCAAAAACGCCAAAAATTGGTAGAAATCGTCATCAAAGGGCAATAACTCTAATAAGGAGTCGACTGAAGATTTCGACCATTCAATTTATCTGTGGGACTTGTCTTGCTGATCATTTTTACAATTTAAAGTTTCTCTCTATATATAATCTATTATATTTATAGTTTTCAAGATAGTAGTCAAAAATGAGAAAAAATGGCAAAATTTGTCATTTTTAAAGAGCAATTACTCCTATAGGAAGTCGTCTGACAATTTTGACGAATATGGACAATTGGTAGAACTCAACATTCTGAACATTTTTGCCCTTGCCAGATTTTATCTACTCATAACGGTTTTCAAAATAATTGACAAAACTTGCAATTTACCCCTATGTTCTATTTTTAGCCATCTTGGTTGGCAGACGGGGTCATCGGACACATTTTTAAAACTAGATACTCCAATGATGATTGTGGCTAAGTTTGGTTAAATTTGGCCAAGTAGTTTCAGAGGAGATGATTTTTGTAAATGTTAACAGACGACGACGGACGCCAAGTGATGAGAAAAGCTCATTTGGCCCTTTGTGCCAGGCGAGCTAAAAAAATGATTGGCAATTGTAACAACCTGATATCATTTTTCTATTTTGCTTGAGTGTACGTGATAATAGCCAACATGTCGACATGCTTTTGTTTATTTAGATGTTTAGCGAGCATATGCAACACAAGTATGTGAAATGAAACAGGTACAAAAGGCGTGGTAAAGTGCTTTTATACAAATTTAGTGAAATCTTTATGTTGAATTTCAACTTTTATGTACCAAGCTCCTCCCATTTTACTTGCTTCAAACAGGCCGTTAGACCATTCATACAACACATTTTGTCTGTGATAATCTACTTTTCTCTAGATTCAGAGTTCACATATGAATAATACAACTTGGTAAAAGCATAGAAACACAAATACTGACACATGAAAACCTGTCAGATAGAAAGTCAGGTATGAAAAATAATTGCGAGTAATACACTGTGCACACTAGGGACCACTTAGTTCAGTATATATGCATGCACTGGTTCAATAATTTCTATAATATTAAAATTACAAGAAACTCTTTTCATATGACTTAAATCTTTTGAAAAAAATTAATTACAAATGAATAGTGACTTTTAAAAGATAAATTAAGTTCACCAAAATCTTACAAACAAACAATGAACGGTTCAAAAAAATTGTTATTTTTGCCCCCTGAATTATGTCTTTAATAAAGTTTGATGATTTTCCTCTCATGTAAGGGTTTCATTCTAATATGATAACTAAAGTATCATTATTTGTTTTAATGAAGTTCATATTGAGCAGCAAAAACCAAACATATTTCAATTAAAGACTACACAATCATGTATTCGTCTTCGTTTTGTACAAATAAGCGACAATCTAAATCAACTTGTATGTATGCGAATCACTAGCAACAAGATAAAAAAAATCATTTCTATTGAAAGTTGAAATCAAATGTTGAAAAGAAAAAAAAAAACAAACAAAAACTAAATTTTTGAATGTTGAACGTTGAAATCGAATGTTGAATGTTGAAAACGAATGTTGAACGTTGAAAACAAATGTTGAATGTTGAAAACGAATATTTAATGTTGAAATCGAATGTTGAAAAAAAAAATGAAAAAAAAAAACAAATTTGAAAAAAAAATTTGAATGTTGAATGTAGAAATCGAATGTTGGATGTTTAAAACGTTTAAAAAAAGTTAAAAAAAAAAAAAAATTAATGTTGAATGTTGAATATTGAACCAACTTGACATCCGTCTTATTTGTAGATCCTCTCCTGCTGACATTTTTTGTTCTAAATAGTTTTGTCAAGGGCAATTCCTTTTAAAAGGAAAAGAATAACGATTTCAGGAATCTAACTTTTGTGTTAATCTAGTTCTGTTGCACCGCTTATCACAGTTCCTTTCTATCGACTATAGTTTTCGAGAAAAACACAAAGATGGATACAAATCGTCAGTAAAGAGCAATAACTTCTATAAGGAGTAAACTGACAATTTCAAGGGCGTCTGATTTTCACAATAAACAAAATATTAGACGATTCTCGCATTTTACCCACTATGTTTTATGTCCATTTTTAACTGGTAGACAGAATCATCTGACATATATTTTGAACTAGATCACAAGAACTAGGGCTAGGTTTGGTTTAAATTGGTACAGTAGTTTCAGAAGAGAAGACATTCTTAAAAGTTAACGGACGACAACGATAACGTTGGATGACGATAGGCAACTACGTCGACGGACGACAACAGACGCTACATGATGACAATAGCTAATACTGGTCCAGGTATCAAACAATAATGTATTAAGATATTGTTTGGGAATTTGATTTAAAAAAATAAACATAAACTGTTGGTGAATATCATGATTTGGAACAACTAACAGGTTGTACATTACATTCAGGGCTTACCATCCTTCCGGTAATAACTCTTAACATTTGTAATGTAGGCTAGTCGTGGGAGAAATAAACCCCACCATGCTGTCGCTTTATTAACAGCTGTAGCTGAACATCCATCTTCCCAATTATTATTCGCAGGTCCTTCTATTGCCAGGTTTGCAGTATAATCAATACCTGATGCGTCTGTATATGTTGTTTCTTGTTCTACTGTTCCATGTAAAGCCAGATTTACTGTAAAAAGAGGTGAACTATTTACAATGTTGTACTTTCTTATTCATTCTTATTTTAGTAGTAGTTGTGTACATTTGCATATTTCTGTAACATTTATACTAAACACGTCACTGTCATTATATTTTTTATGGATGCTTTCAGTTATATACTTATATTGTAATACATGGTCTTTATCGTATGACATATTGTCATTTCAGTTCTTAAATATAGGTTCACTGCTGGTGTCTTAGGTTTGACAGTACATTTTAAACATACACAAATATATTGGAACACGTGCAATTATATGCAATCATCGAAGCTACATGTAGCATGCCATTACATTTAAAGACCATAATAATAAAGGAATTTATACCAATAAATTCAGATGTTGTTGGTGAACAACAAAATTTGTTCATAAATAAAAAAAAAAAAAAATGGCGACTATAATAAACGACAAAACTTTGGAAACGACATGTTGTCTGTATTGTTCATGGCATTGGTGTATAACGGGTATGCATTCTTCTACATAAAGTTAAGGTGCCGATATTAGACGTTTGAAATTAATAGACAATTTTTTTAAAAAGATTTCTAAATATTCCACCTCTTTCCTATACAATTGTAAGAGATTGTGCAATATCCACAACTAAATACAAAAATATCATTTTTCAAAACATCCTTCAGAAAGATCTTTAACACCTCGTTAATAATTCCTTACTTTTTTAACTGGTTTTTTTTCCCTCATTTTTAACATAGCAACTATAGTTGTGTAGGCTAAATTGATGTACACAAATTGCATTGTTGCAACCTATTTGTAAAGTTGATTTTTATAGAATGCAGTTTGAATCAAAATGCACTACCGGTATTTCACAAAAAAATTACCTAAGAAGAAAATAATAAGTATTGTCGACAACTGTTTATTCACGGTTGAGTGGTTTTTTGTGGGGGGGATAAGTTTTGTCGTCGGGTTGCTGTTTCCTTGTCGTACACCTTACACCTCTTTTTAATTATATTCGTTGAAGCCTATTTATATGAGAATATATATGTAAAGATGTAAAGATTCATTTAGATAGAAATATTCTTTACCTTTAAACAGTGAACTAAGAAATTTCTAAACTGAAGCGTAAAACACAAATTCAGAAAACAATTCGTAATAACAACTAACTTCTACAATAAATCTGAAATAGTTAAACAGAACAGAAACAGGGATATAATATGAACAAAATGAACAGAAATGTGCAAATAAAAAAAAAAATGGAAAACACAACCAAAACAGACAAATGGCTGTCAAAACACTAAGTCATTTTATCAGTGAAATATACAACGATCTAATCTTGCTTAGGTGCTATAAAATGAAGATTCAACGAATCTTTAACCAAAGACCGAACTGTATAATGTTAAATACAGAAAAATTGTAAACAATGAACATTTTTCACTTAAGAGCATCTCTTGTGCTTAAGGGGATACTGTAAAGGTTTACTGTTATTCTAATAAGGTTTAAAAGAAAGAAAAAAATAGAATATATCTAAATTTTAACTCCTAATAAACACCCCATTTAAAGGTAAAAAACAAATGATTGTCTTCATTATAATTTTAGTGTGAAAAAGGTTGTTCGGCATAATAAAAACACTTAACGACCCCGAAACCAGATATTGCCCTCGGCGTCGCCTCAATCAAAGGTGGTATCTCAGGAACAACAAACTTGATATTCCCCTTATAACCAGTCAATACGTGTATACTTTTCAATTAATGTTATTGCTGTTAGTCCCTTCGAAAAAATACCTCATTGTTCATATATCACTGCACCCGCATTGTCTCATGTTACCATAAACGGTTCTCCGAATAAATCAATGGAAGTTCAAAATGTATCGATATTTCATAATAGATAAATGTAACAATTGCCAACGATGGTACAATTTTTATTTATACTTACTCTGTGCTCTTACTGGAACGAAAAGGGTTGCTATAATCAAAAGTACACCTTGTTGCAGCTTTGATATCATCTGAAAGTGAGTTATGTAACCATATACATAATAAACATAATAAAATGTATAACTTAAATTGTTTCAGACATTCTCTTTTAATCGGAAGCAGTTAAATAAACTGGCAACCTTACTACATATACATTTACTTATACAGTTCACACTGCATTCCATAATTATAATGCATTTAATCAAAATATGAACCAAAATACTAGACTGTAACTAACCGTTGAGTTAGAATTCGATTTAAAGTTCGAGTTATTGTCGAGTTGGGGATTATGGTTTTTTCCTAAAAAAAATATTCAGATACCCAGTTTGATAAGAAAAATATTGTGGTCAAGCAGATGACAAAAATAAATTTTCCTAATTCAGATTTTCCCAATACCTTATAGTGTTCAATTTTGAAAAAAAATAATTTGATTGATAGCGTTGAAAAACTAAATAAATTGTTCGCGCTTTGCGGGAAAAAAATTTTCAGACTCAGACAAAAAACCATAACCCCCTCAGACTCGAATAGTATCTTGAGCTTTAACTCGAACTCTTAATCGAAGTAGAAGCCCAACTCACACTATACTCAAACGTTTACTTTAACTTTTTCTCGAATAGCACACGAACTCTAACTCGATCGGTAGTTATACACATGTTCGTAGCTCTTCATTGGTTGAACCGCTATTATGTGACTCCAAATTGAATCGTTCATTGTCTGAAAATCTAAATTCATTTAAAGAAAACAGATTCGATAACTCCTTTATGTTCGGCAGCACGACATTACAACAAACCCCTTGTCTTCCTCAGCACGCATTGTGTCTCAATATGTACGACTAATTTAATATTAATATTATGTATTCTTTTCAGAAACATAGTCACAAGATGTCGAAACTTACAGGAATTTTGATATCGAAGAGTCATAAGATAAATAAATAATTTTTTCAACAATTCTGCCATATTTTGTACATAAAATTAAGAATGGAAATGGGGAATGTGTCAAAGAGACAACAACCCGACCATAGAGCAGACAACAGCCGAAGGCCACCATGTATATATAATAAGGTGTTTAGCCATACCATCAAAATATTATTCCATATTTCTGTTGAAGACTTTAAGTACAATTTTCAACTTAAACACATCAAAATAAGTCTGCAACCAAAACTATTGATTGCAGATGTTTCAAGCCATTTTAAGTACACTTGGCTATATCATGGCGGCCTGTTTATATTGGTGGAGGAAGCAGAAGTACCGACGAGGAGATCAACCGATCTTCGTCACAAACACTAACAGTCCTAATCAATTAAGACTGAAGTCGAATGCACCTTGCCACAGTGAAGTTCTTATTCACAGGTTCAGTTTTGACAAACTATATGTAAGCTAGTGATCGCTGTAGATGTAGATGGAATACTCAGACCACTCGGCCATCGAGGTCCCTTTACCTAAATAAAGTTATATGTATCTGAAAGAAAATATGCTCATGAAGATTTACGTCCGATATTTTTTTTTTTTTTAAAGACTCTTTGTTTCATTGTCTTTTTTTTAGAATAATAATTTAAAAAAAATCTATAAACAATTACGTTTTGGGACATAAGGGTTTAGCTACATGTATAATGATGAAGGATCTACAGACTGTAGAACCCCAAAAGTACATATAGCTATTCAAGGAACTGTCACTCCCTAATAAGATTGACCTTTTTTTAAATGGTCATGGTGCACTTTAAATAAATAGTACAGTAAAATGGCCTTTGGTTTTAGTTTGAAAATTTATTTGATATTTCAAATGAAAAAATGGCGGATTTAAGAGACACAGCTGCAGAATATGCAGAAATTCAACAAGATGAAAAGATATAGATAACAAATGGCCAAAGAATTAATCGACTGTGTATGAAATGAGTACATTTGCATCTTAACATCAACACAGAAATACAAATGAAATTGTATGGGAATACTCTTAATTCTTCCCTATATAAAGACAATTTAAAATGTAACTTTTTGTACTATTTTTTATTGGGCTATACCATTGGATACTGCCTCGATGGTCTCTTGGTGGTGTGTTTGCCTCGAGTGCGGGGGTTCCAACCCCTCTGGGATCAAACTAAAGACTTTAAAGTTGTTTTTTTGCTGCTACTTCTCTGACAAGCACACGGCATTAAGGAGAAATGGCAAATACTGGTTGGCTCGGAAGTCAGAATGATGTGACCTGGAAGGTTGACATGTCTTCCTGCGGACTGTTACATTGTTAACTAGAACGTTATAAATCCGGCTTTGCGTGTCGGTCTAGTACAAAGCAGGGTTAATATTCATATTACATTTACATGTTCTCGTCTTGAATATGCATTTATTTGCTGCTGAACGTTAAACAACCATCCATCATTATCATCTATAACATTTGTTTGAATAGTATGTATTCGTTCTGTTTTATAAATGTATAACATGAAATATGTAGCGTACCTTCATTGCAACAAGAAAAAAATCACCATGTGTCCACTGTCAACCAGGAAGTACAAGACATACTGTTATATGTTACAGTATATACCCTATTTGGATATCTTTAGTCGGTTCATTGTACACAGAGAGCAGTCAGGCATACAAATATCACATTACTGCCTTTAAAAGTTTTAGATTCAAACGCAATGAAATTATTTATAGTATTTACTAGTGTTTAACAGAGCAAACTGTATATGCCATGTGTAAATTGTTTATTTGTTAAACTTCGTCTGGATAATCTATGTAACGTTGTCAAAGTATAAATGAAGTTGTGATAGCATACGTGACAGAAAAAAAAAAAAAACGTTTAAAGGGATACCCATCACCATGACAAAAAAAAAATCCTGTTGTATTTTTTTTCATTTTTGGTGGACAAGAAGATAAGCCTTTCCTACAAAGGCTGTCAACTTTTTAGGGGAAATTCACCATACGAATTCAGAAAAAAACCAACTCAAAGGTTCCATACCTAGGGCCTCATGTTTCCTTTAAAAATAGGGTAAAACAATGGGTATAGGGTTAAAATATCACTATTTTTTCAGTTGTAAGCATATAATCCTTTAAATGTCTTGTTTACATGTGTAAGTATTGATTCATTTGCTTATATTATACATAAAATACTTAGAAAATGTCTTCATAATGTTTATTGAAATATAGATTTTGACTTGTAATGTCATACTGAAATCCTTGGTAAAAACGGATAGCTCTGATCTACTAAATGTTTGCATTAAATGCATGGTTAGAAAAATTGTGTCGTATAAAATTCTTTAAAAAATCGAATAAAGACTAAACAGAACTCATATTTGAACTTGTCAAATGTTTTAAAAATTCCACCTCCTAATCTTGTGTACATGTATTTCTTGGTCAAGGTTGACTTTTTTAAGCTTGAAAAACCTATAGTTATTAAAAATAATTTTGGTGTTTTTACTTACATTTTCAAACTTTTGATTGAACAGGACTTAATTTGGGGGTAATTTTATGTGTTAGGCTTCAGATATTTGGTTTACAAGCACAATGGTGAGTGAAATCGTTTGACATGAGAGCCCATTTATCGTGACTTTTAAGTGATCTTGACCTCTAACACCAGGAAAAATGTATTACTTTTGAAACAAATACGTTCTTTTTGGAAACCTTTTGCTTTCATACTACATGCCTTTTGTATGTATGATTTTGATACTTGAAGGTTGATACGGTATTAAAAGGTGAATCCTATCAACAGAAATGTACACCGATTCTATAGAACAAATATATATTTGACAAAAGTTCTGCTATCATCGGCCTGAGTTATTCTAAAACATTTTTTTAACGGCATCTCAACCAACGACACTTAGTGTACAACTGTCTCCTGCCTAAGAGTACAGGCACATACATACATGTAATGTTGCATGGTTAAGTGCGGTTGGGAGTGCTCAACTCTATCACTTACCAGGGGAAGTGGTCTTACTTGCAGTACACTTTAGGAGTTATTAGTGATTTACAGTGCAGGGGGAAAAAGGGGGGGGGGAAATATTTGAGTCGCGCAAGCAACAAGAATACTCCCATGTCCCTGCATTGTCATCACTAACAACTCTTAGATTATACTCTAAATATTTTGTGTCATATACATATTCAAGAATTTTTCCCACGGTCTGTGCAAAAAGATCTTGCATGTAGTTAAAGTAGTCATAAAAAATGAGTGACGAGAGAGAGGGTGGAATAGGCCAACAGATTTGGCTCGAAAGGTAAGAATATTAGTTTTGCAAAGAGCTCAACCTTGGTATGTCATGAATAAAAAATGCATGGTTGACGACGTTTTAACGTTTACGCTGGATATGTTTACATTAATATTTGCCACGTGGTGTTATCGCTATAATCAATCATCCAATCCTTCAATGTATTTTTCATTTTTCCACCCCTTTTTTATTAATACCTGTTACATTTGTTTCCTCGTGTAACAAAAGATCTGAGTGATAACAATACATAGAAATTAAAACAAATGGGTAGACTTGTACTTATTTTCCCTAAATATATAAAGCACCATAACATAATTTTAAAGCCTACTTAAAATAGTACCATATACATGAGGGCAAAAAGGATCACAGCTACTAGATATTGTTTAAAGCGGCATTCGCTGCCACATTCATGTTCATCGATTTGACTCAAATTTTCATCTTTTATTTAAAACATACTAAAACGTATCATTATCTAAATTATAAAAGGTCCAAAAGAAATAATGCACAATATATGGACTAGCAATAATGAATCAGCATGTAGTGTGTATTTTAGACTAATTTACCATCGATATGACCTCCAAAGAATGCCAAAGCGCTTCTTACTTAATATGAGCGCACGATCAGCTCTTTTACAACCCTATAGAATTATAAAAAGAAGCATACAATGCTTAAGACCGTACTTTGACCTATAATGGTTTACTTTTATAAATTTGGACATGGATGGAGAGTTGTCTCATTGGCACTCATACCACATCTTCTTATATCTGTTAAGAGTTATATCAAGCTTTTTGTTTGTTTTTCTATGCATTGTGTTTTAATATACTGTCGGGGATCATAGAATTTTTAGTCACAGCTGTTGTATTTTATACGGAAATACAATTCGATATTGGAGTGCCTGTAGATTGTTGTCAGCCAATCAAAGAGGACTCGGTAGCCAAGTGATCTCAGTAGTCGAACTACTGTATCACTAGTCTGTCAACACCAAGGTTGTGAGTTCGAATCCTGCACTCGACTCCAATCTTTATTTGTGTGGATTGTCAGTTTTCCTAACGAAGGTCAGTGGTTCTCTCCGGTTTCCTCCAACAATAAAAACTGACCGCCACGAAATAACAGAATGCTGCTAAAAGTGGCGTTAAACACCAATCAATCAACAAATCAATCAATCTATATGTGTATATATATATATTATATAACTCGTCTCAAATTTTACCCAACAATGTTAGATCTTCAAATTTGCGTTAGCAAATGTTTGGTCTTCCCTCAAGAAGGTTTACCGATCCCTTCAACAGTTTTGTGCCAATATAAACAAAAAATTGATACTTTTCTGACATTGACCTTATACTTATTTTATACTGCAACCTGAAATTGCAACAATTAGATTGATAATGTAAGCACAAAAATAAAACATATTTTCTATCCTTTAGCGAACCCCAAATTGTGAGGAAAAGTGCCATGATAACTATCATTGGTAGATAAAGATACGAGGAAGAGTTGTAGCTACAGTATACAAACATAAATATGATATAAAATACCAGAAAAGAACGGCAATCGTACAATAAATTATTTTTTAAGTCTGTTTGAGCTCATGTCATTGATTAGAAAAAAAGGTAAATCCTCGTTTTACCTCGAATGATTGTGTGTGTGCAAGATCAATCAACGCAATGATTCTTCCCGGTGGTTTCATTTTTCTATGTTGACGTTCTTTTTCTTTTGTAATAACTGAACATGCTGAGCACATGCATAGCCTATCCCCAGCTAAAGGTTTAATTGATAGTCGCATTAATAGGGATTCAACTCGCGTTGAATAATTTACTTGCGATGGTTTTGAGCCAGGCATTTTGACAAAATTGAAGTAAACTGACTGCTAATAGCGAAATAGTGTTGCACGAATCCGCTTTTATAAATGTTTGAAATAAAACAAAATTCAAATTTTAGTTGTGTAACTAAATCGTAGCATATGCCACTTTAATAGGTTTAGATATAAACATTTATCATAAAATAAGGTCAAATGAAGCTAGAATTTAAACACTACTATAAGTTTATCACCACGAGGAGAATTAAACAAAGTTGATGAACATTATAATATAGAGGATGGAAAATGTCAGAATGTATCACAAAAACAATCTAAGTATACTGTTAAAAAAAAAAAGAAACGCATAGCTCCGATAAATTTTTCAAAAATGCAAAATATATATTACAAGGTAAAATGAAGCGGTCAACTGCATCTTCAAATTTTTACAGGTAAGTTTTAAACAGGAATGGCGAGCAATTCCACGCAACGACATTAGAACATTTATAGCATCCATGCCGAAGAGATGCTTAGCAGCGAGAGGTGGTCATAGACGGTACTAACTTTAAGGGCACAGGAAGTAACTGTAATTGTGATAAACTGACTTTTATTCATCAATCTCGAAGGAATTTACTGTCCTCTTCTCAATCAAACACGTTTTGAGTGAATATCTTTATTAGTAATTGTAAAATTTCTATTCAAAATACATGTATAAAATTTCTTAAAAATCCATTGTGCGATTCTTTTTTGGCAGAGCAAATATGTAGTCAGTGTGATTTGGGACTAAAGCATGAATAAGTACAATGTGTGATTCAGTATTTACCTACTGTGCTTGGTCAATCATAGTTCAAGTTGTTATTAAGTGTTGTTAAAATGCGACTTGGATAACTTCGCCCATTTTATTGTTATTTGTTGATTAATCAAGCATTTTAGCTAGGTGTCATCTTAGAATTACAGAGAGGGTTAATGTGTTTTGCCCTACACCGAAGGCCTCACGTTGACTTTGAAGAGAAGATTAAAAATCAAAGCATCATTCTATGACAATTCGTTCATTCCTTGTGTTTTTAGTAAAGATTTTGTCATAAACATTACATTTTTCTAATATGTATGTTTTTCAGGCATGTCATTCAACACATTTTTTTTCTCTATTTTATCAATTTTTAACTGTAACAAAAATAAAAAGTAAAAGAAACAAAACAAAATAAAACAAAACAAGAGATCAATACTATCTGCACGAATATATTGACACAAGAATAAATGACAAATCTCAAAAGCAATCCAAACATGGATTATGGAAAAACTATTTCTCATTTCCAATGTAGTAATTGAATTTTGAACAAATGATACTAAATATGTTACTTCTTTTTTGTTTCATTTATCAGCAAGCGTCTCAGCGTTCACACAGAAAGTTATCTAGATTTGTTCTCCGCAAGAACATGTCTTTAAGTTATTGATTATGTACACATTTTTGAACTCGTCGACAGGAATTGTATTTCTCTTTTTCTTTTTGGGGGGTTTTACCTGTTCTAAAATGTGGTCAGCACTGTTTTCGTCTGAACTTTTACTCATTATTAATGATTCCTGG